ATAATAGTAAAAGAGAATTTTACACTAAACACAAGGCAAAATATGTTACAATGAAACAAATTAACTTAATAAAAGAGTTAAAGTAATGTACAATCAATAGATTCACACTTAAAATCAGGAGTACAAAGATTTCATACCCACCTGATGCAATAAATTAATCAATTACAAGTATTATTATTAAACTAACACCATTTTTATTTAGCAGGACAGGAGGTATATAGGTCAACTACTTACAATCAGGTCAAGGGATGTACAATTATTAAATGGAGTCTGTTGTACCTTTTCATAATACCTTACACTTTAAAATCAATTATTATATAGGCCACTAGTTTTTCCTGATTTTAATACAGATTTACAAGGGGTATTACACTATCTCTATGATAAACTATGTTGTAATGAGACAAACTAAATCAAGAGAAGGCCTAAAACAAACAACAATCAGTAAATTAACCCTTCAAGATTAGAGAGTATAGAAATTTGTACACTGAGTAAATATATATCAAATCAATCATTATTAATTAATATTTTTTATTAAATTACTCCAACATCTTGTTTTTATGATGAGATGAAAAGGTATTTAGTCAAACTACTCATGATTAACCAAATAAATGTACAAATTTTTAAACTGTTTTTTGGGTATTTGGACACCATTTTTTAGTTAGCCTAACCTTTTTGCAAGTGAAATAAAAGTGTAAAAATAAGGTACTTATCCGTAATAATCAAATGTAGTAAGGCATCTTCTAAAATTTTTTCCCATCCACGCTCCTCCATTTGTCACATGACATAACCGTTGACTATTTGTAAATTAAAATTTAAAATAATTATAATTATCACTAAATAATATAAAAAACTAATTATATCACAATAAACTAAACTAAATAACAAAACTTTTGATACATAACTTATAACTAAACTATTAAATAAAACTATTAAAAATTAATTAAATTTGTTAACATGACATAATCGCGTGTCAACCGTTTGCACTCCGGCGCCATCTTTTTTTTTCTTGTTATTATAAATGAAACAATTTTTAACGTCTTTATAATAATAATAATAATAACAATGAAAATTAACTTTTGGAAAATTTTTTTTTGTTTTATTCATCCGTAAAAATAAATAAACAATAAAATTCGATAGTATTAATTAAAAATAAAATTTGTAAAAGAATTTCATATGGAAAAGACAAAAAAAAAAAAGAACCGAAACCCCGGGTATTTTATTTTTTTTTTTTCCTCATTGGGGGAAAGGGAAAAAAGTTTTTTTTTTTAACAAAAAAAGAGAAAATTCTAGAATGAAAGAGGTAATGTAATGAAAATAAACAAGTCATGCGGAAAAATGTTTATTCAGACTTTCTTTGATCCTTTCGATCATAAAATAAACCAGATTGAGAAGATACAAATAACAACCAGGACATTCCAAAATAAAAAAAAATCCCTTTTAACTGATAAGAGAGAGAGAGAGAGAGAGAGAGAGGAAAAAAAAAATAGGGGATGATGTTGATGATGATGATGATGATGAATGCTTTGAAACTAGAGGGTAAATTTTTTTTTCATTATTTTAAAAATTATAAATCGCATTCTCGAATGAACCGTAAAAGAAAAAAATAATATTATTTATTTATTATTTATTTTAATTAATAATTATTCATTAAGAAAAAAAAAAAAAGAAAAAGGAAAATTTTAATTACAACAACTCGTGGAAAATATTTGTAGCGTGTCCTTTTTTTGTTTGTTGTTTGTAATTGTCATTTGATTATCATCGTCTTGGTCATAAAAAACTCACAGGGGTGCATTAATTAAAGAGTCATTATAATAATATTTTTTAATAAAGGAAATTCAAATATTCAAAATGTACCTTATACCTGGCCAAATTATACCTTTCCTCAAAAAAAAAAATATTAATAATAATAATAGTAATAATGATAATGAAATTCTACAGAGAAAAAAAATAATAATAACCACGTGAACGTGCGAATAAAAAAAAAAAAAAAAACAAAAAATTTTTTTTGTATTTTGCAAAAGAAAATAATAATGAGTAAATTAACACTGATAATAATAATAATAATAATAATAATAATGATGATGATGATGATATTGATGAAATTCTATGTCGTAAACAAGTTAAGGATTTAATAATTATTAATATTAAAATCGAGTTGTCGGAGGCAAGTTATTTATTGACCTATGAACTTTTAATCAAGGCTGACTGTTTTGTCAGGTTTTATATTTTTTTTTTTTTTTTTATAAAAAAAAAGAAACTTTTGATTTTAATTTGATTCTAATAAATAGAATTTCGTTTTTTTTTATCGATAATCGATCGATCTATCGATGTGAAATTTTATGGGCGTTAATGAATAAAAAAATAAATTTTCCGGGTACTTTGTAGCGTCGTCTGATTCGTCGCCGTTACGTTCGAATAGTAATTTGTTCATTGTTGGTCATTGGTTATTAGTATGCGAATAATTATTAATTACGTCTCCAAAACCTTCGAATACCTGTGATTATAATAACCTTTATGAAAAAGACAATGAACATCCGGTTACGGGGACATTTCCTCTTCACACTCGGCTAATTGATTTATGTTCAATTGGCGTATCACAATTTGTCCATCCTTCGTCGGTTTTTTTTTTTGCTTCTGTTGACGTATTCAAATTACAAATAAAAATGTGTCGAAATTAATACTCTCTCTCTCTCCCCTTTTCGGTTAATTAACAATCCAGGTGGTTCTCCCCATTTACAAATACGATTTTCACAAACAAGTAAAAATCCGGGTGTAAAAAACAAAAAACTGTAAGAAAGGTTTTACATTAAATAAAACGGTTTTGTTGTAAATCAGAAACCCAAATATTATAAATTAAAACAACGAGTCGTAAGACACATGACATATTTCAGGAGTTTCAACCTTTTAAATAACGATATATACCCACCATGTTTTTTTTTTCCCTCCTTTCAAAATTCAGGGTAAGCAAGAACCAAGGTGAGTTTCACGGATATAAAAGGTCGGAAGCGTGTTTTTGGGTTGGGGAGTACGAGGGGGAGGGAGGGAAAAGGGAGTAAGAAAATACAAAATATGATATTACTCCTGCTGCTGCTGCTGTTTCTGCTGCTGTTCCTCCTACTCCTCTTTCTCATCCGAGATGGAAAAGGAGAATTTTTTTTTTTTTATTTATAGTTCCGTCTTTCGTTTTATATCATTTACTCTCCGACTTCTCGTAACTTTTCTCAATAATAATATTTTTCTAATTTTTTCTTTTTTCATAAAAGAAAAAAAAATTCTACAAATGAAATATTTTTTTTTTTTAATATAAATTAATTTTATTATTATTATTATTATTTATTTTTAATTATTATTATTAAGAAAACGACAGAAAAAAAAGGAAAGAAAACTTATTAACACGTTTAAACATTTTTTATAACGTGATAAATTTTTTAAAAAGACAATTACTTGACTCAAGATTTTTTATTTTTTTAATGTCCCGTGGGAGACAACAGGGAATTCAATCCAGAAACTAACAAAATAATAACAAAAAAAAATTTTTTTCGAATTAAATATTCATTTCAATTTTTTTCTTGTCGGATTTTTTTTTCATCAATTTTTTTTTTCTCGCTTTTTATATGAAGAATTTTTGTAAAAAAAAAAAAAAAAAAAAACATTTTTAATATATAAATAATTCGTGTTTTTTTTTTTTTAATATTTATTATTTGTGTTAAAAGTGATACAAACCGATGAGTTTATTTCAACAAACAACAAACGATGAATTTTTTATAATTTTTTTACATACACGTACGCATCCACGCACGCACGCACACACGTACGCACAAAACAAGAAAATTTTAAAAAAGAAATTTCAAAATTAATTTTCATATGAATTTGATTATTTATTACTTTTGCTCCACCCCCTCCTGTCCTCCTCCTCCTCCTTCTCTACAAACATACAAACATACAAACGCATTTATTACACGTAGTATAAAATTTTAAACGTATAATTTTTTTTCAAAAACAACAACAACAACAATAATAATAATAATAATTAATATGAGCACATTAAAATACGATTACAAAATTTTACATTAAATTAATTTAATACGCAATTTCTTCTTTTTCTTTTTTTTTTTTTTTTTTTTTTTTAAAAGAAAAACTTTTAACCATTCCAATTTTTTTTTCCAGTAGATTTTTCCAGTAGAAAAAATTAAAAAAAAAAAAAAACTTTGACGTCACTTGTTATTTCCCTCTCATAAAAAAGAAAAGTTTTTGTATTCTCCAGTCAGTATACCTTGTTGTTGTATTAAAAAAGTTTTTTTTTTTAAGAGTTAAACTCTTGTAATTTTAATTATGCGTTTTATATAGCAGAAGACTAAAAAAGAAAAAGAGAGAGAGAGAGTGAGAGAGAGAGGGTAGATGCCGCAAAGGGTGGAAAATTAATAAATAAATTTTTTCTCCATTTTTGTTACAAAGGAGTAAAAAAACTTGCGTTTACATAATTTTTATACGTCAAATTATTATTATTAAAAGTCGTGTACGTAAGTGCGAGTGTTAATAATAATAATAATAATAAATTCGCATTAATAAGAAAATGTATATTTTAATTTTTAATAATACATTTTTTTTTTTTTTTAGTTATTTTGACAAATAGTTTAATGGAAGATTAAATAAAAAATTAAAAAAAAAATTTTTTTTTTAATCCTGAGATTATGAGAGTTGAACTTAAGAGCATTTTTACGTTAGAAAGGGATTTGCGTTCATTAAAGTTCTTCATTTAAAATTATGGTTTCATAATCTTTGTTATTTTTTATCCATATTTAATAATAAATGAATTCTCCCCCTCCCCTCCCTCCTCCAACCCCTCGGTTAATTTTTCTCTTCGGTTCTTTTTTTTTTCTAACCTTTTTTTTTTTTCCAACCACTCACCGACAAAAAAAATTATAATAATGAAACGAGAATGAGGTTATTAAATTATTATTATTATTAATAAATAGAATTTATTATTATTATTTTTTGAAATGGTACAGGTAGAACCACGTGGATTTAAAAAGAAAAAAAATGAAAGTGTCATTAGCTGTGCTGAAAAAGTTATTGATGATTTAAAAAAACAAAATTTAAATTTAATCGAAGGTAGTAAGGGCCCTTATTTTATTATTATTATTATTATTATTCGCACGTCATACATTGATCTAATTAATAATTATTACGTTTTTTACGTTTAGCCATGGTTAAAATACAAAAAACTCATTCGGAGGAAAAGAAAAATTTTAATGAAACGCTTTTGAGCATTGATAAAGCACTTTCTTCACTTCCTATAAGACTTGAAAAAATAAGACTTAAAAATCAAAAAAATTTAACTATATTAAATAATAATAATGATGATTTACAAGCCAACGGAGACAACGTGGGATACATGGAGGATATGATACTCGATAAGAAATCCGATAATTCGACGACATTAAATTCAATGCAAGACGTTAATTATTCCGAATCGACCACAATGAAATGCCTATTGAAAAAAATCGATCAACTCAATCAATTGATCGATAAAATAAAAATGGAGGATTCATCGATACCCATCGAACCTTTAATAAATAACGAATTGTTTGCCATATCCTTACTTAAAAAAGAAATTCGAGAAACTAAAAGACAAATCGATGAAAATAAAACTTATACGGAAATTGTCAAAACTCAAAAACCAGGTACGGAAAAATTTATGCATATACGGAAAATCCCAATAATAATTATTATTTCGTTTCTTTAAAGGTACGTGCAAATTAAAACCTGAAAATTTATTTTCAAACGAACTTAACAAAGCGAGTAATTTTAAAATATTTGAAAATCACGTGGTTTTACAAGAGGAAGCAATGAATTTACTAACGGAAAAAATAAAATCAACGCAAAATAATTTAAAAAAAGAAATTGAAGAAAAAGAAAATTTAATAAAAAAAAATCAAGACATGACGAAAGAAATAAATCAATTGAAATCAATATTGAAAAATTGTTCGTCGACATTTTCGATAAACGATGATAATATATCGATATTATCGAATTCTCGTAAATTCGATAATAAAATTCAAATCGATACAACCGGTATGAGTTGTAAAAAACCCTACAGGTTAATTAAAGAATTGAAAATAAAATTAGAAGAACAGGGAAAAGCTTTGTGCGAATGGAAATCAAAGTAATTATTAATAATAATAATAATAAATAATTTTAATTATGGGAAAAATTTATTTATTTATTATTTTTAAGATTTGCAAGGCTCTCGTCGGCGAATTCGAATAAAAACGTTTTATTAGAATCGGAAAAGAAAAAAAATAACGAACTTGAAAATTCGTTGAAAAATATTAAAGCCCAATATAAAACGTTAGAATATCAATCAAATGCGACTCAATCATTAAATAAACAACTTAAAAACCAGATAAGTTTAATTTTTTAATTATTTTCCACCCCTCCTCCTTCCCCCTAATTATTTATTTAAAAGGAAAAAAAAATGTTTTTACTTACCCCCTCGTACGATAAAGAGAATTGACAAAAATTTTTTTTCTACATCTAGGTTGAGATATTAAAACACGAGGTTAAAATCCTTAGCAATGAACTCGAACATCAAGTTAATAAAACTGAAAAAAAATATAAAAATAAATATAACATCGTTCAAACGTATACTGAAAGGGAAAAAATAATAAACGAAACAAAAATTATGTTTTTAGAATATAAAAATAAAGAATTTATGAAAACTTTTAAAGTAAATTAAAAAATAAACGAATGTATTTCGTCATCATTATCATTATTATTTATTAACGTTTTTGTTTTGTTTGATTTTATAGAAATTGTTACAGCAAATGAGCGAAATAAAAATGGAAACGAAAAATCAAACGAAATCATTGAAAATAATTTCGTATGAAAAAGTATGTAAAATATTACAAATAACGCCATCGGATTTAAATCACTTACTCGGTCCTAATTCTGGAACTTGTCTGGAATCCAACGTTTGTTTACACCCATCAATATTATCATTATCATTAAAACCTGTGAGCTAAAACAAACGAAAAAAATTTTTTTTATTAATTATATTTTCAGGCTGATAATTTATATAACGAATGCGAAAAAATAATAGAAAATAATGAAGAAAATTTTTCTACAAGTTTATCAACATGGTTTTTAAACGTTATTAAAAAAAATATAATAAATCAATTAAAAGAATGTTATGATAATTAATTATGTATTGATAATGATGATAATATTAATCAATATAATAATCTATCGATTAATTAATTAGCATTTAATTTATTAAAATAAAAATAAAAAATTCTATTCTAATTGTTTTGAAAGCATTTTTCTTTTTTTTAAAGTTTACAAATTTATTAAAAAGCATTTATTTATTAAAAAAGTTATAAACAAAAAAAAAAAAAAGGAAAATTTTTACTATAAAAAAAATTTTTAAGCTTTTTTATTTTTATCCAAATCTCTTGATAAATAATTTGTTCTCGGTGGTATGAAAAATGATTTGTGAACTTCTTGTGTATTAAACGGTGGCCTGTAATTGTTTGGCCATCTGTAGTCTGCTAGAGGTCCTTGATTAGAATTCCAATATGGTGGTGGTGGAGGTGACGAATAAGTATTTATTTCATTTCTGTATAAACAAACGTTCGTTAGTTATTCAATAAAATTATTTTAAAAAAAATTTAAGTATTTAATACTCATAATACCTGTAGGGAAACCTTTGTTGATTATACGGTGGAAAAGGATTCAATCTAAAAGGTTCATCTTTTTCTTGATAATTTTGAATGAAAGGTGCCTGAGTCAACCTGTAAAAATACAAGTTGTTAAGAAATTTATTTATTAAAAATTATCATTATCAATAAATTATTATTATTTACCTGTTGTTGGGTTCATAATAAAATTGATTTTTCGAATAACGAGATGATCTACCATCGTCAGCATCGTAAATGATGTAAGTTCTGAACAAAATAAAAAAAATTTTATTATTAACTAATTTATTAATTTATTAATTAATTATTAATTAACTTACTTATTTCTAAAATTATCTTCTTGTAAATTATTTCCTTTGTCGTAATTGCCAAAAGTAAATCTAGGATCTCTTTGATACCTGTTTCTATCCTGATTATTCGGATATGAATAAGGTTGGGAATAACTTCTTCCCATTCTTGAAAAATCCATCGGAGGATGTGCCGAAGTCAAATACGCGTATTCTTGAGGAGGAATGAAATTTTTATAAAATGGTTCAAACGTTGGTTTGTTCGAGTAATAGTTTCGATCTATCGAATCGACATATCGATAATCCAAAGATCTTCCGTTTTCCGGCATGTTAGCGTAATATATAATTCTTCCGCTGGATGGTTCGAATGTTTGATGATAGTATTCTACTCCTCTTCCCACGATTTCAGACGGATACGAAGGTGTCTGATAATATGGTCTTTCGTGAACCGGATAATTATAGACGTATTGACGATTTGTAAATTGTTCGTGTGTGGGTCTCGGTTTTCGAAAAGGTTCCCTCACATCATCGTATTGTCGTATCAAATTCGTTCCTCCTCCATTTTGTTGGTTTCTTTTGCTGTAATCAATCGTGTCGTAGACTGATTTCGGAGTTGATGAAGTTACTCTGTCGCTTTGCCTGCTAAAAGCTCTTCTAATCGAAGATGAATAATGATTATCTTGATATTGTTTCACCATGTCTTTTGTATCGCTTGTATTGTCTATATCTTTCAAACTGTGTGATTCCCTAGCTAAAAATTTATAATAGAATTTTAAAAAAACGCATTAATTAATTATTATTATTATTAAATGATGATGATAGCGCTCTTACGATTTTCACCAGTTCTATGTTGAGGAGGTGTGTAATCATTATTTTTAGTCGAAGATCCTCTTCCTGTAACAAAAGATGGATTTTCTTTTTTTTTCTTCCAAAATGACGTAGGTGTTGTAGATTCACCATAATTAGAACCTCCTTCACCAAAAGTTCTTTTATCCCTTTGTGAATCATCTCGTATATCGGACGTATCATTTTTTCGACGTTTCAAATAATCAGGATCGTCCATGTCCACCGTATCGAATTCTTTTATAGGATAGGTCGAGTATATTGGGCCCCTCACGGCTTCAGGCATGGGTAATATTAAATCCGTATTACCTTGTTTTTCATTGTATTCAGTTTCCGTAAGTGTAGAAATTAATTTTTCCGAAACTGGTTTGTCTTCGCTGTTACTGCTGCTGCTGGTGCTGCCGGTGCTACTCTTTTCGTTTTTTATTTCTCTCTTTAATCTTTTAAATGCATTTTTATTTTTGAAATCAAATTTTTTATGACGCACAATTTCGTAAGTGTTGACATCGATTAAACTTTTCGGACTCCCACTTTCTCCCAATTTCGAATTAATTAATAAATTATCTCTTTTTATTAATTTATTTTTTAATAAATTAACATTTTCAAATGTTTTCGAAGGGGGTTGATGGGTGAAAACCTCCAACATACGACTTTGAATCCGTTGAGATTCAACAGGATGGTTATTATTATTATTAATAACGCGTTCGTCATTATCTGTAGCAAAATTTCCATTTATGCACGCAAAAATTACGCATAAATAGAATTTTTGTGAAATCCACAACATTCTAAAATAACAAAAAAATTTAATTATTATTTTTTTCCCTATACATATATATACATAATTATTAAACAATAATAATAATAATAATAATAATAAAAGGAAATAATAATTTTTATAATTGTATTAAATTTCATAATTTTGAAATATGACGAAAAATATTAATTTCCTTTTCCGATTCATTTTATATTTATATATTTATATATATAATATTCAATTTTTAACGATGATGATGATGATGATTATTATTATTATTATTATTATTATTATTATTATTATTATTATTATTATTATTATTATTATTTCCTCAATTATGTGAAGGGACATTTTTTTTTTTTGTCAGAGAATCATCATCATCATCCATTCCGGGAATTAACCTAATTTCTTAGGAATAAATAATATTCGAGCACCTATAAGTCTCAACAATAACAACAACAACAACAACAACAACAACAATAATAATAATAATTAATTCTATTGTTTTCCTTTTAGGCTCGATCGTTTGCTTTTATAGTAAAAAAAAAAAAGAGTTGGAAGTAATTAAATATTCATTTTATTATTAATTTTCATTTATTCATTCATTCATTCGCTTATTATTATTATTATTACACTCATCTCCAGAAATTTAAAAAAAAAAAAAATTCAGGATTTGGGCGAACGGGAACGCACACACCGCAATCGGGGAAAAGAGCATTTTATTATTATTATCATCATCATCTATAATTATTTTTCGATTTAATTTAAACAGAGAAATTTTATTTATTTATTTATTTCATATGTAATTAAAAAAATACCGTAAATGCATAATAATAATAATAATAATTTTTATATATATTTTTTTTATTACTAATATCACGATAATCTGATTAAAAAAAAAAAAAGTCCTTTGCCATAATAAAAAAAAAAAAAATTTAAATTTAAAAAATAATAATAATAATGATGATGATAATAATAATAATAGTAATTAGTTAATAGAATAAAAAGGATATAAATAAATGAAAATAGTAAAAAAAAAAAAAAAAAAAAAAAAGGAGGAAAGAGCATTGACCGGAAAATTTCACAAAAGTAATTCACATTTTTTTTTTTGTCGATAGCCATGAATCAATGAAACCGGAAATGAAAAATGAATGGGATTCCCCTTTTTGTTTCTTTTTTTGTTTAAATAACAGCAAAAAAATAGCAAATAGCAAATAACAAATAGCAAAAAAAAATTTTTTTTCGAAATTAATAAATAAATAAATAAACGCTTTCACAAAAATTACCCGAAAAAAAAAAAAAAAATTTTTTTAATTATGTATAATTAAATATCTTCAATGCGTGCGTGCGTGTGTGCGTGAGTATCAATAAATAAATTAATAGTTATAAAAAAAATGATTAAATTAAATAATATACATATATATGGTAGTAAATAATTATTAAATTTATTATTAATTAAACTATCAAAGTAATTAAATTTAAAAATTACGCTAAATTAATATTTCAAAATTTTTATGTATCTATGTATGGTAAAATTTAAAATAATAACCATTTAAAATAAATTAATAACTGTGAACGATAAAATTATTAACCGTAGAAAAATACTACATATATATATATCATTATTATTATTATTAGGATTTAAAATTTTTATTAAATATAGATTTGCGGGTAAATTTTTTTTTTTTTTTTTCAACGATAAAAAATTAATTATAGAAATGAAAAAATTTATTTTCCCGCGTAAATTTAAAATTGATTTTTATTAATCAAAGGAAAAATTTTTTATAAAAAAATAATAATAATAATAAAATAAATAAATTCTTACCTGTTTTAATTAAATTTATTAAATATCTCCAGATTATCATGTGTCGTTTATCCCGTTGAGGTTGTGTCCATATGACTAAGAGAAAAAAAAAAAAATCCAGAGAGAGACAAAGAGAGAGAGAGAGAGAGAGAGAGAGGAAGATCATTGGTCTTTTCCATAAAAATTCCCTTTCCTATTCTCTCACACAATATGAATGCCAAATTAATGACCGTATATCCGGAATGTGAGACAGACATGTTTTTCAATTTTAGAACGGAACTTGATAAATGATCTAAATTTACAAAAAAAAAAAAAATCATTAATTTTAATTACATTTACAAAATTCCATAAAAAAAAAATAAATTTTCTTTTATTTACCTTTTCCCAAAAAAAAATTTTCCAGCAGTTTCGACGATTAAAAAAAAAAAAAAAACAAACAATAGAGAAAAATAAACAATTAAAAAATATTTATTAAAATAATTTAAATTTAACAATTTAATAAAAGCTTTTTATTATAAATTTTTTTAAATAATTTTTGTTGCACTTTTGTTATATAAAAAAAAAAAAAATAAATTTAGAATTTATTCGGTGGATGAGGCACGATTAAATATTATTATTATTATCTCAAATACGATTGCAATTCAGCATCATCGATTCCAAATTTTTTCTTAAAATGTATTTGAATGACATAATTTTGATTCGAGCTTAAAGAATTAACAATGTCGCTCAATGTGTTCATGTGTGCTTTTTCTTGTGCATTTAAATTCCTATTATCCGATTTATAAAGTTTAACAAAATCGTCGGATATCGTTAAAATTACAAATATGGCGAGTGTGATATCCTGAGGTTCGTTCAGAAGTTCTTTCAATGTCGAAAGAATATCGAAATTTTGCTTGTGAGAATTTAACTCTTTTATAAATGCATCGAAAGATTTTAAAAATAATAATGATAAATGATTATATTCGGTGTAACCGCAAAAAAGCTTTCGTAATTCTTTTCCAAATTGTTCAGATTTATGTTCGACGCTCGTATTTTGAAATTTGTTAAATAATCTGAAATACATTTCGTAGTAAGTGATTATCAAATAATCTTCGAATAAAACCGTATTTGTCGTGTATGGCCAATTTTCCAATATGGCGTTCAAAATAATCATTGCGGATTTTGAATCTTCGTGTGTGACCGTACGGAAAACTTTTAAAAAATCCGAAACTAATTTTATGGGAGATCCACAATTTTTAATTATTTTTAATATAAAATGTAATCTTTTGTCCGAGTCGGATGTCGGACCGGTTAATAAAAAATACGATGCGAATCTATTCATGAAAAAATAATTTTTACATAAATTTTTTTCTATTAAATTTTTCGAAAAATCTTCGGATAATAAACGAACGTTAAGTAAATTAATACCGGATAAAATGGAATCTTGCAAATGATTTTTCAATCTCGGACTTTGTTTTTCGGAAAATGTCCAAAGGGTCAAAACATAATCTTCAAAATATTTTAAAGGTATATCTTTTAGAGGGGGTCTTGATTCAATGACCAATTCGTCACTTTCCGATATGAATTTTTTTAATGTGTTAAATGTTTCCTCTGAAGGTTGTTCCAAAAAAGATGATGTTACTTTTTTTAATAATACTGTCCTCGTTGAATAATGATCGATCATACTCCAGCACTTGTTGCTAATCACGAGGGATTCACTAAAGTTTGTTATGTTAACCAATACTCGAATCAATTCCTTTTTAATAGCAATTTTAGAAATGTTTGAATCCTTTAAAATGTTCATCAATTTGGGTACAATTTCATCGGTACGTGAATGATAGCAACAGTTTTGAAACGACCACAAAACTTCTTTAAAATAATCTCCGATGAAAAATTTTAATATTAAATTTAAATTTTTCCATGATGGTTTTATATTTTTTATTATATTCGGAATAAGAATTTGTATTTCGAGGTAGTTATTATTTTCTGAAAAATCAATTTTTTCGCTTTTAGGCATATACGATTCGGTAAGTTTTTCAAAATTTTCTATGCTACATATATGCGACAACAATATTAAACTGTTTCTCTTAATTGCGACATTTTTATTCTCTTGAAATTCTTTTGAAATATTTGTAAATAATTTTTCATTCAATGACATGAAGCTCAACATTTTGAGACAAGAAAAAAAAACATCTTTTATCCCAGGTTCTTCGAAATTCGATATCAGAAAACTTACAAAGTTATCAAATTTATCACAAATTATCTGGGGATGATGTTTTAATAAATATTTAAATAGATTAGCTTTCGATTGGGTTAAAAATAAACTAACGGATTTATTTTTTAACGTTTCGACAGTATCGACATCATTTAAAACATCGTTTGTGTTTTTTTTAACTATTAAATTAATATGACGTATTAATTCCGGTACGTCCGTTACAATTATTGGAGTTTTTAAATTATTCGTGTTATAATCGCTAATGGTCATTAGAATCCAATTTGGAATAGTTTTAGAACTTTTTTTGTTGTCCGGATTAGATGTCATCCATTTAATTAATTCTTTGTAAAATCTAAAAAATAATTTTCGTGCGTCGACGTTTTTAAAATCGTGTATAAAATCTTCTTCTATTCCTTCGGAAATTTTCCAATCGATCATTTTTTTAATTAAAAAGTCCACCTCCATATTTTTATGTAAACGATAGTACATGCATTTTTCCAATAGGTAACTGTAACTGTACCTATCGTTTCGCAAAAAACATAACTCGAGCATTTCTTCAATTTTTTCAATCACGGTGACATCTAAAAGTGTGAGAGAAAAATTTCTAAAAACGTCCGTCATGAATTGAATAAATACCTGAGTGGAATCGTTTCGAAATCTCGTAAAAACATAATCGACGACTGTTTTTAAATTAATGTAGTCTCGATTGATAGCACAAAGTTTGATCTGAAATACATAAGATTTATATATACATAAATATTTGTCAACATATAAATTTTAATAAATCAATCAAGGCATTAAATAAATAAAGTACAGTAAATTATTACCATGAATTGCACCAAATCTTGTCTCTTATAAAGAACACAAGCCTTAGAGAGCATTTGTTTATATCGTGAAAAGGCACTATCAAAGGGAAAAAGATAAACAAAATTTTCCATTTCATCAGGGGGTTCCCAAGTATTTAAACCTTCGTTAAATTTACAATTTTCATATTTTTCGTTATTCGGGTCCGTAAGTTCTTTTTCATAGGCCACAACGTAATTAAGTCGTTGATCCAATGGAATCAATTCTAACAACTGAGGAGTGAATAGTTTTACAAAATTTTTTATCTCCAAATCGTAAACCTAAAATAAATGATTATATTAACAAAATAATTTTAGAAATTAAAAAAAACTTTAAAATTTTATTAATGAGCTGAAATAGCAGTTGAAAATAATTAAAATTACTTCTTTAAAAACACTTTCAAGCATTTGTAATCGTTTGTTTGGTGTTACTGATAGCATCAATAGAGTTATTTCATATATTGAATTGATCCAGTTGAAGAATGTTAATTTATTCTTTTTAAAAATCACTAAAGACACCAAAAATTTCACTTGGTCATTAAATGAAAAAGCCTTAAAAAGAACTTCCCTTTTAAATATAGACGATGATTGTATGAGATGATTAGACTTAAATATGACTTCTTTTAATTTTCCCCCTAATTTCCTAAAAGAAAAAAGAAAAACGATAAAAATGGTCATGGGTGCACAGTTTA